GCCCAGTCTGAGGAGCACCAGTCACCCTGCTGGCTGCCCCCCATGCATGCCGCAGAGCCCTGCCAGGCCGTAGGAAACATTTACACCAGTGCTGAGCCAGAAGCTGCTTTGGCTCAGGGTTTGTCTTCCCTGAGCCACAGCACTGAGTCCCCTCCCAAGACAGCAGCAGAGCAGACGCTGGCCTGGGCCTTCATCCCGAGTGAGTTTCTGAGGAGCACCAGTCACCCTGCTGGCTGCCCCCCATGCATGCCGCAGAGCCCTGCCAGGCCGTAGGAAACATTTACACCAGTGCTGAGCCAGAAGCTGCTTTGGCTCAGGGTTTGTCTTCCCTGAGCCACAGCACTGAGTCCCCTCCCAAGACAGCAGCAGAGCAGACGCTGGCCTGGGCCTTCATCCCGAGTGAGTTATGTCCTGTGATCACCACGAACGTGGGGAGGACGCAGGTCCCAGACTTCCACCAGTGTAATGGTCCACCGTGGCATTCGCTGCTGCCCCCAATTGCTCTGTCTCACCAGGAAACTGTCCTCTGTGCTCAAGACACAGAGGGGATTTGGGCCTTGCTCCTGGTGAATCCCACCACCTCCCTGCAAACACAAAGCGTGCGAAGACACAGCCCAGCCCAGCGGCACGCTCAGGGTTAGGGACACCCGGCCCCCTGTCGCACCCAGCACCCACCACAATGTGTCTGCGCAAGGGAACGTGCCCAGGCAGCACCAGGGCAAGAGACACCCGCTCCCAGCATGCCCACCCATCCCTACCCTCAGCAAGGAATGCTGTCAGGGGAAGGATTTCCAAGAGCTGGTGCCTGTCCCTGGACTGAGCACTGTCCCCTTCCTCACTCACAGCCTCACCATCCGTCCCCTCCACATCCCAGACCAGCACAGCAGCAGAGGAATCGTTTTACCCCTATTTCAAGAGAAAAACCATGGCTTGTCTGAGACCACCAAAAACCAAGCAGTTAAAAATCTGCTGTTCCGGCCAAAAATGTCCTTGCTGTGCGCTCGCACTGCAATTAGAGGCTCTGAAAATGCACCGTGAGCACTGCTTCCACCCAAGCAATAATTCCCAAGATATTGATTTGCAAGTCACAATTAACAACTGCTTCATTCACGAACCAGTAGTTGGCTATGATTAGAAATAATTTAGAAGAAATGATGCCACCATTATCTGCCACTTAGAGGATTCCCAGCAATCATTTCATTCGCACGGAGCGCTCACCCCACCTGCTGCTCGCCTGTCCCTCCCCACGCTACCCCACGCTACCAGAACCCCCAGCCCACCTGCTGGTCTGGCCCGGGCAGTGGCACAGGGTCCGCAAATCCCTGCTCCCTGCAGAGCTGCCACGATGACACGGGTGCCTCCAGCCAGCAGCTGCTCCTCCCGTGGGTGGGTTTGCTGTGGCTGACCCAGAGGCTGAGGCACCAGTCCGAGAAGAGGCTCAAGGAGGGGCTGCAGAGGGGGGGAAGCTGCAAGGAGAACCCAAGGGCTGGACTTTCCAAGCAGCAGCAGTGGACTTAGGTCCTCCTGGAAGGTGCAGGTGAGTGGGAGGAAGCATCACGGGCTCAGGGCATCAGGAAAGCACAGAGCTTTGTGGCACTCCCAGACTCCCACACATGGTTTCTTCTGGCTGCATGACGTGTTACAGCATCAAGTGACCTCTGCACCGGGGCTCCACACACTGGCCCCTGGCACAGTGAGCAGATCCCCCTTCGCCCCCCTCCTGCTACCCCCAGACCCTGCTGTGCCTTTGCAGGAGGGGCTGGGGTCTCCACGTCTGCAGCTGGGGTTATCCCGCACAATCCCCATGCCTAGCAGTGAGTTGCCCACCAGTGACCATGGCAGGCCGCAGTCATGGGCTGCTTTTAGGCTCCCTGTGAAGGCACTGCTGGCAGCCAAGGGACCTGCCAGGGTGGAAACAAGCTCCTGGGTAAGAGCTGTGAGTGTCTCCATGGTTGGCTCTTCCCCAGGCTTCCCCTGCTTTGGTCTGGTCCCAAAGGTCCCACCACAGCAGTGGACCTCTGTGAACTGCCCACAGGGCAGTTTCTTACTGGTGGAGCAGAGGTGTCACTACAAAAAGCTGCTAGCTGCATTCATCACCCCAGGATCCTCCCTGGTCCCAAATGCTGCCTTTCCATGGGCTTCATCCTTTCCCCCTTTGCCTGCAGCCTCTCCTTCCATCTCCACCTCCAGCCCTCCCCGGGGCCTTGAGGAGCCCTTCACTCACCCTTCCAGAGCCCCAGGCTCCAGGAAGAGCAGCAGTGACAGCGCTGCACAGCTCAGGGACCCGCTGGGGACACAACGCCCAGCTGAGCTCCCCATCAGCCTGGTGTGGGACCTCTGCTGCCCCACACTTTCCTCTGTCACCAGCAGCCCACGCCAATGGCACTGACAGCTGCCCTGGCACCGGCTCCACAGCCCTGGCCTCTCCAGAATCTGGCTCTCAGCAGGCTCCAAAGGAGAAGCAGGGTTGTGGAGCCAGGAGCTCGGTCCTCGTCCTGCACACGCGTCCTGCGGGCAGCTATGGTGGAAGGGAGGTGGGCAGTTCCCACAGACCCTGGGATGCCCACACTGGCGACCGTTTCCAGAAAAGTGCTCTCAAGAAGCTCTACCGAACTGGTGTCTTCTAACAAAGAAAGGTTTCCCTGAAAAGTTCCCAGCTGGCTCCTGTATGAATCCCTTTACAGCAGAATTATATTCATCCTATGTATTATTTACAGTACATGTGGAGGGCCCAGTCCAATTGATGGGCCTGCTTTGTACAGGACTCTCCAAAAACACCTGACAGACAAGAACAGATCTGCTCTGCTATCTGCACACATTCTCAATTAAAAAGAAACCAGAGCTAAGAAATAAGAGCTCCAGGCTAATCAGCCTGTTAATTAAAAGGCTGAGGAATTACTGAGGTGGTGGTGTCAGGCTGTGCAGTGCAAGGGAGTCCTCAGGCCTCTCCCCTCTGCCAGCACAGCTCTGCAGCTGCAAGGGAGGGACAGGTCCTGCTGCCCAGGAGAGTGGCAGGAGATGCTATGTGCTCCCCCTGCTCCTGAACCTGAGACGGGGGAAGGCTGCTGGCCCTAGGCAAGCAGGGACCATCGCTTGCACAGACAGCCCAGCGTCAGGCTCCGTGTGCTCACATACCCATTGCCCGGGCCCCAAAACAGGTATGAGAGGCCCTCTGCCACACGACTGTCCTGGTGACTTCCCTAAGGTCCCTCTGCCCTCCAAGACACTTGGCACAAAGGGCAGGCCAAGGAGAGGTCAAGGTTCTTTGGTCCTCTTCTAGGTCTGGGGTCTCACAGGGCTTCATCCCCAAGAAGACACCCGTTTCCCCCGCCTCTGCATGGCTGCAGAGCTCATCCCAGCCCCCTGAGCAGCACGTCCACCCTTCAGCACAAGGAACCTGCACATCCTGCAGTGGGGTGGCCCAGCGCAGCTCTCAGCCAAAGCTCCTGCGAGCCACAGTCCTGTCCACACCAGGCACAGAGACAAGGTCACACCACCACCCACCTGCTCTTCTTGGGTCTTGCTCTGGGGGCAGGCTCAGAGCCACACTTCTTGTCTTTAGACTCCTTGGGGGCTTTGGGTTCCCGAGGCTTCCGGGGCTTCTTGGCCACCTCCCTCTGCTTGGGCTCCTTCAGTTTCTTGGGCTCCTTAGCCTTTTTAGGCTCTTTTGGTTCTTTAGGCTCTCTCCTCCTCTTTGGTTTCACCTCCACAGCTACTTTTTCTACCCCTTCCTGCTCTCCCAGATCCGTTTTCTTCCGTTTCTTCTTCACTCCAGTGCCCCCGCCCCCACTGTCCTGCATCCCGTTCTGGGTGCTCGGCCGCTTCTGGAGAGCCCCGTCGGGCTCCTTCTCCAGGCACTGGCACTGGCCGCGTGTGTCCGTCACCGTCACCTGGCAGGGGACCTCGTCCTGCTCCTCGCTGCTGGCAAAGGGGTCCTGTGCCTTGCACTCCCAGGCATCCGACATTGGGGAGCAGCTCAGCACTTTGAAGCTTGGCGGCTGCAGAGAGAGCAGAAAGGCAGCATGAGAAGCAAATGCCACATATAGGAATAGCAGGCACTCTGTCTAGGGGGAACTGCAGCCCCAGCGAGGCTCTAATCACCCCAGTGTAGCACAAGCAATGTCCCTCGACACACGAGGGACTATGGCTAACGGCCACCACTCGCAGAAGCAGCTCAAAGGAGAGGACCCCCCTTCCCTGCCCGATGGCGGCTGACGGGTTAGGGTAGTCTGGCGGTTCCCCACCAGTCCACGCAGGCCCAGCATGGAGGCAGCTGCCCCCCTGCTCTGCCCCCAGCACAGTCCTGCCTCTGGCCACATGCTCCACACCCCACTCAGCAAGACCCACAGTGGGCCATGTGCCCTGGCCACCCCCTGCCTGCTGCCCTGAGCCAGGGATTGTCCCAGCAGGGCAGGGAGAAGGAACTAAAGGACACCTTGCAGTCCCTGGCAACAAGAAGCAGGCCCCCAGCTCTGCTCAGGGCAGAAGTGGGGGCTGCACCGGTGCCTTTCCTGGGAGCTGCTGGGCACCGGTGCTCTCTCCAGCCCAGGAGAGTGGAGCTGCTCTTCCTGCTCCAGCTCTTACTTTACTTCTTGAGAACTTTCCAGCACTGAACACTGAGGAATTCAGCTGCCTCTCTGGTGCACTCCACCAGAGAACACCACAGCAAGGCCCAGCTATGTCTGTGATAGCCCAGCCTCCTGACCTCAGCGCCTCAAGACCAGCCCAGGCCAGCTGGGGGGTCAGGGGACAATTTGAGGAAGGGAGATGTGGGTGATAATTCGTAATGGGGACGAGAAACATCCCTTGCAGCAGCTGCCAGACAGAGAGAGAGCAAGGGATGCGCAAAGGGCTGGGCAGTAGCAGAGCTGCGTGCACCAGGGATGGGTACAGTGATGTGTTGGGCTCCACTTCAGCTGCTCTACCAGTTGGCTCCATCCCCAGAACCCAGCACAGGCAATGCTTGGCCCTGCCTGCGCTCAGCCAGCCCACTGCACCCTCTCCTCTGCCTGCGATCAGAGGATCACCGGAGAGCAGCTGGGGACATGGCCAGCACCTATCCCTCACGGCACTGGTGAGAGCTTACTGGGCACCCGAGCTGGCCTCTGCCCGCTGTCCCAGCAGCACGGCCGCTCTGAGCTGCTTCCCCAGCCCCGCAGTGGGAGAGCAAACCCCACGGCCCGTGCAGGAGATGGCAAACTTCTCACCCACAGCCACTCGGTTAACTCCTCCTTTCAAAGCATGGCGATCAAGGGAAGCTGTGGCCACCCTCAGCCTGGCTCACGCCGCGGGGCTGGCAGATCAGCGCCAGAGTCAGCCCAGCAGCGTGACCAGGGCTGGAAAGCTGGTCCTGCTTGGCGGCCATTCCTGGAGACACTGAGTGGGGCTGAGTCCCTGCCAGGCCCATGCTGCCATCCTGGAGGTGGCACTCAGAATGTGCTGGCAGTGGCGTGCCTGCAGGGACAGCAGCCGCGCTCACTCAGCACCCTGTGCCCTTGGCTGCCCCAGCCCAGGGCTGCTGGGTCCTTCACAAGCCACTTCCCTGGTGTTGAGGTGCCAGTGACTCTGGCAGCGATGTCCTAGCCCCACAGATCCCCAGTGCCATCAGACACCCCAGAGCTGTGGGAGAGAATGCAAACATTTACATCCTGTGTGCTGGGGACTGGACCCTGTTTGGGGTGGTCTGGGTGGAGGGCACTCTGTATGCTCCAATTTCTGATTTGAATTAGACGGAAGCATTAAATAAAACAGCCTGCCAAGAGGAAAAGACCCCCGGCGACCCTGCAGCCACCAACACACGGGGCTGTGGGCCTGTCTGGCATCTGCTGGGCAAGCTGCACCAGCATCTCTGCCCTGGCCCTGCTGCTGGTCTGCCCCAGCAACCTGGCTGGGATGGGCAGAGCAGCTGTCCCGTCACAGGGACAAGCCATCAGAGTGCACCTATGCAATTAAGGGGAACCTATTCTGAGCTGGGAGAAAATCAGCACTAGAGATGACACCTCTGAGCCCACAGGCTGAGCAACAGGACCAGTCCCAACCTTTGCATTCCTCAGATCTTGCAAGCTGGGGATGAGCTGGAACAATTTACTGGATTAGCTACAAAGCTCACAGACACCCAAGAGCCTGGATCTCCTTTTGCCTCTGTGCTGAACAGCAGCCAAGTGCAGATACCAGACAGAAAGCAAATCTTCAGCATCCTTGCACAGCAGGAGGGTGAACTGCTCTTCCCAGCCACTGCTTGTGGCCCTGAGTCTCACAAGGGGCTGCTCGCATCCAGGCAGGCCTCCCAACGAGCAGCAGGTCTGATACCGCAGCTCTGGTGCTGCCCAAGAGCAGGCAGTGTCACCTGCCCCACCGGAGAGGGGTACCCCACATCACCCACAGCACTGGGCCAGGACTGGGCTGCGACTGGTGCTGAGCGCCCGGAGCAGCTCTGTCCCCAACAGCCTGTGCCTGGGGGAGCTGAGCCCCGACGGCCAGGTATGGGCATCTGGGTTCCTCTCGTCATGTGCATCAGCAACACCCAGCAAACCAGTGTGGAGTAGAGAGTGCCAAAACCAGCTCATGATTTTCACCGTTGCACACCAGTCGAGTGGTCCAGAGTTCCCCCCCACCCCATCTGCTGTCTGCAACTACGGCTCCAACCCAGGCTATGGAGCCCAGGAGGTCCAGCTCACCACTGGCATGGCCACTGCCCAGCAGGAGCCCCCTGCCCACTGCACAGGGCAGGCTGACCAAGCTGTCAGCAGAGCAGGCCTCAAACCGTGACCTACTTTGTGGTGTGTGCCTCGTGCCTGCATTGTGCTGCTCAGGCAAATCAGAAAGGGCGTTTCAGTGATTGCTGATGAAGAGATCCCAGCCTGCCACAGTCCCTGCAGCTAAAGAAAGTTGAATGCGTTACAGAAACAACCATGAACTGTCGGAAGGTTTGTGAAAACGCAAGCAATCCTCCTGCTCCTCCTGCATCACCTCTTGGCTCCCAACAGACCCTCCAGCCTCTGGGCAAGCCCATCATGGTGGGAGCACAGCCCAGCCCACCTCCCAGGCAGCACCACAGGCCCACAGGTGCAGCAACGCTGGTGCTTTGCCATGGGATGCCCTCCTCTGTACGGGAAGCAGCGCTGGTACCAGTCACCAGCACTTGCCTGCAGCTGGAGCAGCCAGAAGCTGCTGGCACTGGCCCTGCTGTGAAAGGGCCATCAAACACCAGCCTATGGGACCCAGCAGCTCAAGGCCAGGGCTTGCCCAGGTGGCAAAAGCACAGAGGGGCAGGGAAACCAGGCTCCTCCACACCAACCGTGGGCAAGGTACTGCCAGCCCCAGCAACCCTTCTGCACCCAGGGCTGCTTGGTTTGTCCTGAGGGGAGAAGGCTCCATGGCATGTTCCTACAACTCCACGGGAAGCTTCTGCCATCTACACAGGACTGTGCTGCCAAATCTGCAGTCAGAGCTCGGCACGCTGCTGCGAGCCAGAGAATGGGCTTTTCCTACTTCCCCTTGATGAGGTTCAGTTTACCCTGGCTTCTCATCAATAGGAAAAGCCTGAGAAAGCAGTGCCAACATTATCTGTGCCCCCGCATGGCTTGCCTGTGGCAGCTCGGCCAGTGCTTTCAGCAGGCAGGAGCACACTGTCCCCATCAGCTGCTGCCCTGGTGCCGCAGGGAACGACCACCTCTGCTTCCAAACAGTGAGGAGCTGCAGGCCTGTGTCACACCGACGGGGACACAGCACCGACGGGGACACAGCACTGCAGGGAGCTCTGCTGCAGCAGCCGCCTCCAGGCTGAGTGGCCTGAGACACACGTCTCCACCAGCCATCAGGCTGCCCACAGCTCTGCCCAGGGAACCGGCCACCGCGTCTGCAGCAACATCCAGCAGCCACACACTATCACCTTCAGACTCCCTTCACGGGGGAGAAACACATCCAGCTTCAGGAGCCAAAACCTGGCAAATGGTAGCCCCAGGGCGCTCGCTGCAGCAGCAGGGGGCAAGGCAGATTCCCCTTGGCTGCTCTGGACCAGGCCAATGCTCTGCCCACAGCAGGGCACCCATGGGGCAGGGCAGGCTCTGCTGCCCGGGGCAGGCTGGCTACGGCTGGGAGCTCCAGCAGCAGGGCTGCACCCAGACCACAGGGCTAACGAACAGCAGCATGAACCCACCTGTAACCATAGGTGCCAAAGCACCCAGCAACACTCAGTGCCACACAGTGATCAGGCTGGGGAAAAACTCTCTAGTTTTGTTTAAGTCATGCTGCCCTCCTAAGTGGCTTCCTGTCCTCAAGGTGTGCAAGCACACAGGAGGATTTTCTCGGCACCTGCTCTGTCCCATTCACTGTTGGACTGCTCTCCATCACATCCCTTCCCCACAGAGCTCTCGGCCCAGCTAAGGCGCAAGTGTCAAGTCACCCTGTCCTGGCTGGGCTGGGCCAGCACTCAAACCATCCGCCTTATCCTCCTCTGCACCTCTCCTAACCCCACCAGCTCTGGGGTGGCAGCACGCAGGACCAGAGGTACCTCAAAGCTGCAGGAGGGTTTCTCTGTCCCTTATCCTCTTCTGAAATGCTGAACGCACCTCTGGGACAACCTGCAGGCAGGTGCCAACCCTCTGCCAGCATCTTACTCCAGGAGCAGGGACAGCCCCGAGCGAGGGCACATGCATGGCTGGCTCCCCATAGGCATTACCTGGCACATCTTAAGACTTTCCTCCAACTCTTCAGGCTCCATTTCCAATTCAGCATCTCAGATGATTGCAGGAAGCAGCTGGCTCTGCACCATGGAAGCAGAGACACTTTTCCTGTACTTTGCTTCCTATTCTTTAACCAGTCATTAATTCACATCAGGACAATGCTGACTTCTTTAAAACCATTCAGTGAGAAACTGGGAGCCCACGAGCACTGCCCCAGACCAGACCAATCTCACCCCCGTGACCTGGTCATCTTTAAAGTCCCCAGCAGATTGCAAGGACTAACTTCACTTCTCCAAAGCCATGCTGACTATCTA